CCAGATAACCATAATTCACAGCGAAACAAAATTAAAAACTGAATTAGCCTAGTTCGTAAGCATACTTAGATAAATCATAAGTAAAACAACAAATCAATACAGAAAAATAAAGAGTAATAAAAGAAATCCATTTTAACAAAAGCCAGCCAATACCAATAAGTTCAGCACAAATGAATAAAAACTAAATCCCACCATGGGCTTTAAGTACAAAGCAAAACCCCTCAGGCAAAAAACCATCAATTCGAGAAATTTGACAAAATAGAGATGTGAGAAAAAAACGTCTTCATTCCACTCTCGGAGTCTTCAGGGCAGCCGCCTGATCAGCAGAGATGATGTTTTCATTAGACCCGAACTCGTTCACCTCATGACGTGCTGAAGTCTTGGTTGGCGTGACAGACTCTAGCTTAGACAATGGTTACAACCGCTTATCACTTTCATCGAGGGAAGATGCCTCCATGCCCTTGAACTCCGCCACAATGGCCACGTGACAAGTTGGAGCTCGGATACGATGTCCGCTGGCACCTCATCAAAACCTTTCTTCTTCAGGTCGCCGATGAACCCCATAACCCCTGTGAGTTCGTTAACCACGAGGTACGGCTTACGAGCCCTCTCAGCATCATCTAAACACCTTACAATCTTCTCTAGATGACCTCTTTCTGGCATGAAGATCATAATGGCGAGCCTTCTTCTTTGAGATTCCCTCCTGAAGCCGCGCCTTATCTGCAGTGAACTTCTGCGCCAAAAGATTCTGAGCCTCCGATAATTTGGCCTTGGTCACTTTGAGCTTGAAATTCTCCTGCTTAAGAAGGTCCACAGTGGTAGTTAGCCCATCGTTCAGCTCTAGCTTTGTGGTCAGTCGCCTTTTGATCTCCTCGACCCAGTTCTCAAGATCAGCATGCTTCATTTGTTACTCATAAAGCGCGTACTCATACTTAGGAACCAACGAGTTCATCTGACTTGCAAGCTAAAAGGAAAAGAAAGAATATATAAGAATGTTAAGAAAATCTCAAATTCGATAAGGGAGAAGGTTCTCGACCTTACCACCGCAGTAGTATGAGCTATCTCTTTGTAGCTCTGTCAAAAGGAGCAGTTCGGAGATCTTAGGTAGTTTCGGCTCACAACAGGAGATCTTGTGGTAGTGTTTGGCACATACCTCTTTGTTTTCCATCAACGACTCATCTTCGACGTAGACGAACCAAACTTGGGGCTTCTTAGCCGGGACAGACTGAGACGAATCCCGGTCGACCTCTTCCTTGAATCCGACAGCTTGGAGTAAGCCTGAAAAATTACCGCCGTCTGAGTCTCATGAGCTATTATGTCCTCAGTCTGAGGAGCTGGAGGGATGTCGTCAGCAACCCCTCGCTGAAGGGAGGAGCCATCTGCCTTTTTTGCTGAACTCCTTTTTTACGACTTCTTCTTCTTAGCCTTCTGATATTCGACCCCTTCTGCTGGCCTCGAGGTTGAAGCTCCAAGTGCCAGCAGATTCCCTTCACCAGGCGGAACGACCTCCTGGTGGTCTTCGACAGGACCTTGTCCGCTGCCGAATAGGTCAGGTATTTCGTCCAAAGATATCATCTTTGAAGATTCCGGTTTGATACGCTTTGATAGTCTGTAAATGCGAGGTCGGCTTTGTCTTGCTCGACGTCAGGGTGGGTTACGCCTTGGTTCTTTAACTGTTACTAGAAAAGGTATCAGAATAAGCAAACTACAGAGAAATACGCAAAATAAGAGACCTGGAGCAAAGCACACCAGATTTCCGAGGTCTTCGGTTAAATATGCCTTCCCACGCGTCCGACCAGCGACGTTTACCAGCTTCACTGAACGCTCTCTCGAACTCGGTTATTAGCCCGGAATTAAGCAGGAGACTAGGAAGATGACGAACTGCAAAACAAAAAGGACAAAAGGGAAAGTTAGAACATCGAATGAAATCAGACCAAGATATAACTAAGGTTATCTAAACTACCAATCAGAACCCGCCACTACGAATAAAAGGGTTGGTTGGGCTTGATGAAAGAGAGCTCATTCACTTTGAGGAAGAAATAGTTGGATTCCCATCCGTTGTACTCGCTTGACTTAGAACCCGTGACGAGGTTGCGACCTGGTTTGGCATTGGCAGAAAAACACCAGGGTTTCTTCGAATTGATGTTTACCGAGAAGAGATCTTCGAACATCCAATTGGAGGGTTCTTCATTGAGTTTGGAACAGAGAAGTTTGCACCCAGTGAAGTTTGTCATGGAGGCAGGCATCATCTGAGAGAGCGTCACTCCACGACGATTACAGTATCCGAGCAGGCGTCTCGGAATCGGGAACTTAAGGCCGCATGTCCTGAAGTAATCTTCATAAACAAAGATAAAGTCCTCCGAGACATTCCACGGACTATCTCCGATCTCGGGAGTGATGAAAGCCATGCCTTCCGAGATCTCGCCGGCTTCTAATGCAGCTCGTATGGAGTCGGACGTGCACAAGGACAAACCCACTACCGTATGAAAAAGTACCTCTCGGTCAGAGACATTTTCGTCACCAACCTCCTCGTCATCAACTCCATCTCCGTTTTTGCCGACCTCCTCGCCATCGTCTTCATCAGCATCATCCACGTTGTCAGCAACCTCCTCGTTATCATTGATTTCTTCATTAATGTCGGCATCAGTGTTTGGAGAAACACGCGCTTCGGTTTCCCTGTCGCTTCGAGCTAGCAGCTCTGGATGGTGAAGCACAGAAGCAGGTCAGCTAGATCCAGCCACAACCAATCGCAAATTCTTTCGAACTAGGGGTCGAAGAGCAGCAAGATCTACCGATCTCTCAGGAGGCTGAGACGTGTTCGAGGGTTCAGAGGGAGTTTGGCGGTCTTCGTGGAAAATCCCATCAAAAGGAACATTATTGGAAGAAGAATTCGCAGACATTTTGGATCGAAGAAGGAGAATTCTAACAGACATGATCAAAGAAAAAGAAGAAAAGGAAGAACAGGATGAAGGTGGATCTGAAAATTCAAGCATATCGGACGGACAGATGAAGATTGACAGAAAATAAAAAGCAAATTGGAAAAATCACAAGAAATGCGGAAATTAAAACTAGAGAAAGAAACAAATCAAGAAAGAAAAGAGAGTGATGTACCTTATTATATGCAAAGAGAAATGAGGAATGGGAAGCAAACTTCAGCTCATACAGAGGGAACAGTAATCATGACGCCTCGATTTCCAGAACAGTTCGGACTTCACACGCTTCATCCAAAATTAGGGTTTTGAAGTCTGGGAAAATGAACCGTTAGTAGATGCCGACCTTGATTTGAAACCAGAATTGAAGACCAAATCAGAACACTGAGTTCGTCAAAAACAACCTTTTTTACGGAACTGGGGGGCTAACTGTTGGAGGTAAAAACCACATCCATGGTTTTTTCCGGTATAAAACAAAATCGGATGTAGTAAGTCCGGTTAACAATGGTAGAATACCGGAAAAACTGGGCTGAACAAACTCCTGGAACACAAAATAGGTTTCCGTTAGTAACAATAAAATAGTTGATAACTGTTTGTACTGTCATAACAATATATATGCAACTAATTTATAAGAAGATTTCATCAAAACAATGTTTGTATATTTCATATAGTTAATGATCAATACAAATATTACCTTTGCTTTAAATTCGTCTACTAGAAATTAAAATCATTTAACTTTGAACTCTCACAATCAACGGAATTGTAGTTAATATAGTATAAAAATACAAATTTCTAGATCAAAAATGACGCAGAAGAATATTTTTGTGTTCCAGAAATAACACTCGCGTTCATAAATACAGGATATAACAATTTTAAAAAAATATTAGTTAGATTACCGATTAAATCAAGATATTGTACAAAACAAGAAATTCCATTCGAGGAATGTCCCATCCGAGTTTATGGGCCAGGTATAACTAAGTTGCAGGCACATGTATGAAAGCTAAAATATCCGCCGAATATAAGACATTTTATTTGGTAAACTATATCAGGATGCCTAACTGTTTCAGCAAATTTGTGAACAAGAGAAATTAATTATGATACACAATGTGTTCGATGTAGAATGGAAGGCAAAACAGTAAATCACGCTCTCTTTGATTTCTTCTGGCTCTACAAACTTGGGCTATCACTCTGATCCCATTGCCTCTAGCTGGAAATCCAATTTCATTGGTTTTTATTAACTTTGATTGTCTTTTATGGCCAAGATGATCATACTAGAATTTTTCCTTTGGTAATATAGTATATTTGGAAAGCTATAAAATATAAAGTTTTCACTAATGTAGATAGAACCCGTAAGAGATCTTTAACATTGCAGAGTCTAAGAAAAATATAGGGAATATGGTGCAAAAGATTGATCAAAATGTGATCTTTTATACTATATGGTTTCCACTATGATTTGCTCGAAAAATGGTTCTTGGAAAGAGAAATATTTTCTAAAGGAATAGGTTGGCACTGTGTCCATGAAGGTGGTGAAAACGACGCTATTAGGAGCATGTAATTTTAGTAGAAGTTTTTGTCCATTACACGCTGGACTAGAAGTTCTCATTTGGGAAATGTCTGTATAACTGCCTTATGCAACAGATTGTTCTGAGTTGGTGAGGATAATGTTTATTCTAAAGAAATTGTCTGCATTCTTACTACATTTAGAGGAATTCGAGAGGACCAAGGATGATTTTACTTTTTTTCTCTATCTTACTTATTTCAAACGTAAAGAATACAACGACAAACAAATTGGCATAAAAAGTCTAATTTTGTTTATGTAAATTCTGTATCAGGAATTTGGATCTCCTATCCATTTTAATTGTCTATTGATATAAAGTATATATCATTTTGTCTATTGATATAAAGTACATACTGTATATGTCCAGATCCAAATATGGTTTAGAAGGATCCATCCAAGTCTTTACTATTCAGATCTATATCCAACCCTCTCGGATATTCACCTAAGTAGTTTACATTAACCATTTAAGTATAGGCAACTAGCTTTCATCCCATCAGTGTTCAATGAATATATAACATCAAACTATTTCTTCATTAATTTGTATAGATCTTCATTTCTTATCGCTTACGCAATTTGTTGGAAGAGAAACAGCAAATTGCCCAAAACCATTATGACGATTCAACCATGACAAACGATGAATAATTGAGGCAAAACGAAATAAGAGGCAGAAAAAACTGTTCAAATAATATCTGCAAAACTCAGAAGAAAAGTTCCCCGAAAACTTTCTCACATGTTGGTCTCCAACATCACTCCCCGTTGCTTCTCTTCTTCGACATTATTGTACTACGTTTCTCTAAAATCAAGAGTCCTGCATAAACGAGATAAAACCAGAGAGATGCTGTGAACATTTTTGGATTTTGATGAAGGCAACAAAAAATAATTAAGAAGAATAAAGCTTACACTGGACGAGTAAGTCAGGTCCCCTTTAGATAGTGATACCCTAAAAAAAAGATTAAGATTTATTCACTCATCAATGGAAACTCTCAAGTGCCAAAAAAAAAAAAATGATATCTATCTATTTAGATAACATGGTTCTAAATTCATCGCAATTTTGATGTAGCGCGTCTTTTTGATCGAACACGACTTCCTACTTTCACAAGCACTGGACAATGATAATGGCTTTGATGCTATATAGTATAAACATAACAAAATATAAGAATTGCAAACCTCGGGAGGGTTGAATTTTGCTCCAACATTGCTGAGCTTTGCATGGGATTCAGCGTAATCATTAAAGAATGCATCCTGATCTGCAGCATACTTCTCAGCGTACACCTGCAATTACATCACGGTTTCAGTTTTTACGACAAAGACTCGGCAAGTTCCTTCGTATTCATATGTTTCAACTTTATTGTTTGTTTTTTACCTTGAAAGAAGGATCTTCAAAGATGGCAGCGTCAGTGGGTAGGACTAGGAGATCTTCATCTCTCTTTTCCTTGATTTCCTGTTATAACAATTAAATTAATAGACATCGAGGGACAAAAAGGAAAACTTTCACTTCTAAATGTGAAGAAAGAGTTATGTAATGAACCAACTTTGAAGTAAGAGTTGTCAAACTTCAGCCACTCTGGTGTCCATGACTGTCCTCCTGGTGCGCCCGGTCCCTCTTTCTATAATGCAAAAACACATAGTAAGAGCTAGAAAATCGTATTCCATTTACTTTTTCCAGTCCCAAAAATGACAACTTTTATCAACAATACGTTATAGAACTGGACAGGAAATAATACCGTGTACTTCGTCTCTGGCTTCCCCCAACCACTACGTTCTGGCCTAGATCTTCCTAAGGTGTGGGCACCAGATAATGCAACTATGTCCTGCAGTTCAAAATCTTTCGATACTGATCTTTTACTCATTGATCTTCCATAGTTATGAATATTTAACAGCAATTACCTTGTCATCGAGTCCCATTCTGTAAAAAACTTCTCTGAGATGATTAGCGGGTGAAGGAGGACCAGCGTCTATAGAACAAATATGAGGAAACATATGATATTTGCAATTAGTAAAATGTTGATAAAATTATGTAACCAAAAGACATCCGCAAAGATTAGTGATTCAAAGCAGAGGCGAACACCATAAATAAGAAGCTTACCTGGGAGCCTTCCTTCTTCAGGACATTCATGAGGACTGGAGGTATCAACTCTTCCATATTTCATAGGTATTTTTGGTCCTCCGGCTTCCTAAATTTTCCGAAAGTTTAGTAAACATTTTCACGACCAGTTTAAGTAATACTAGAATTTACCTCTATAGCAGTAGCACTGGCTAATTGGAATAGGTCAGCATACGAGATCCCAGAGTACATTTCTTTGATGTGCTGAATCAGGTTTAAAGCATTCACAAGACCTGAAAGCAACAACAAGCCTATGATTAAACATGGTCACAAAGAAGTAAAAATAAGCCACTCCTATGGTATGTAAATGATACCGGCATTAGCAGCATGCTTAAGCTCAATCTCGTATCTCAGACTCCCATTAGCTCCACCTCTCTGAGGCCACTCCTTGATGTTCTTGTTGTACGTGCCAGCATCATGCCACCCTAAACGAACCTGTGATACACAAACATAATATGCAGCAAAACAATATTTAAAAAGTATTCAGATAAAAAAAAATACAACAACAAACCATAGCAATTCTGTGCCAATAAAATACAAAAGTGCTAATAAAAGAGAGAACTAGATTCCCAATCGCGAGCATTCCATAAAAGAGAAAACTAGTTTCCTGTAGCAAGCATTCTGTGCTAATAAAATAGAAAACTAGATTCCTGTAGCAAGCATTCTGTGCAAATAAAATTCCTGTAGCATGCATTCTGTGCAAACAAAATAGAAAACTAGATTCCTATCGCGAGCATTCCGTGCTAATGAAGGAGAAAACTATATTCCTTTCGCAAGCATTCCATAATAGAGAAAACTAGATTCCTATAGCAAGCATTCTGTGCTAATGAAGGAGAACACTAGATTCCTTTCTCGAGCATTTCGTAAAAGAGAAAACTAGGTTCCTATAGCGAGCATTCTGTGCTAATGAAGGAGAAAACTAGATTCCTATAGCACACATTCCGTTCTAAAGCCTTGCTTTCTTCTCTCGAAACTGGGGAGTAATGGCGAATTCAGGAAAGAACACCTTCAACACGATAACTCCGTATGATGTTTAAAGGATTGTGAGAAGTAGGAATCAGAGAACAGCTTAACAAATAACCTCGAGTCAACGGACAATATTAATTAGCTTTGTCCCAAAAACGTTTCAGCTTCACTGTGTTTATCGTAATTCCTTATACTGTATAAATGATAAAATAGCGATATCTTGAGGACAATAGAAGAGAAAACCAACCAAAATTGGATGGCAGAACTTGGTGTTGAGAAGCTCTTTGATATCTTCTCTAGCACTCTTCAATTGTTCAGGATCCGTAGCTGATGTACATTTAGTAGTTGCGGAAGACGAGCTAAAGCTCCGATTCACCAACGCAACTTGATCTCTCTTCTGGAAAATCCGAAAAAAAAAATCAATAACAACAAAAAGAGAAATGAAGATTAGCGGGAGAGAGAGGGAGGGAGGGAGAGACTATCTGAGAGAGAAGCGGAGAAGAGACGAGAGATCTGGTGAATGAGAGAGACGAAGGTGAAGATGAAGCGGAAAGAGCGAGTCTAGATCTGGAGGAAGAGCAGAGGAGACGAGTAGCAGAGATTTGAGTGCGAAGAGAAGACATGGTGTTGGTGTCGGTGTTGGTGTTGAGTGTGAGAGACACACGCTCGGCCATATGAAGCGGATTTGGGTTTGTAATTTAGGTTTTCTTTGTTTTTGGTTTAAGACTCGAAAGGGATTAATGGCGATTAATGCTACTTTTCTTCTTTAACTTTCTCGTCCTTAAAGGGTAACCAAACGACAAAAAAAAAAGTCACGTTCCCACATAAAATATCTAGGGGGTGTTATTCAATCTGTATGTTGAAATCAACTCCACTAGATTAGAGTATATCAGATTTTAAAATTTTTTAATTCCGTTAGAATCTAATGTATATGAGTTGTTTAAAATTTTAAATTACTTAGCAGTGTATTTAGAAAGTCACATGCTATCATTTAAAATCTAATAGAAAAGAATTTTCAAAAAATTTTGTCGAAGTAAAAAATCTCACTAGTCTCTATAAACATGGCAAAGAAATTATCAAAACAAAAATCAGAACAATTGCTAATCCAGAAAGATATTATTTTTTCTTTGATGACTTAGGGAGAGAGAGAAGAGAGAGAAATGTGTGCTAAAGAAAAGAGAGAATAGTGAGAAATTGAGTTTTCATAATAAATGGCTTGTTGACTTATGGAAAGAGAGAATGGAGAGAGAAATGGACTAGGAAAAAAGAAGACGTATGAAGAATGAAAAGACAAAATGGAGGGAAAAGAAAAAAAATTGGAGGGATAAAGAATGATGTATTCGATGGATTAATACATGGAGGGAAGAAAAAAAAAACAAATGTTAATAATTATTTGTATTGAATTTTATAATTATCAAAATCTGAGGGTAAAAGGTTAGATTTTGATTGCTATATTTAACACATAAAAATAGGTTCAAATTCAGTTAAAATCTTTCACTTAAAATCAGTTGTAAGAATCTGTTAAACATGAATAACATAAGATTTTAATTGACTTATTCAACTCTTTAATTGAATAACAATGGATTTCAAAGTCTATTAATGAAGAGATTGTAAATACATGAACCAATAACATTGGATTTTGAAGGAGAAATCAAAATCAATTATTGAATAACAATGGATTATAAATGGATTTAAACTCTATTAAAAACCATGATTGAATAACACCCCCTAGTTTCTCGAATATATATTTTTTTAAATGAATATCTAGTTTCTGTCGATTGTCACCAACCCAAATACCAAATAACTAGTAACACAAGAGTCTCTAGAGAGAGAGTGACACATTGCGTTTTTAGTCATTTTAGAGCTGTACAAAAATCATCATCTAAGCATCTTCAATCAAGAATCTTATTGTGAGGGTGGCTAGATCAAAAGAATATAAGGGTGCATTGCTCTGATTATAAATTCTGAAAGTAATTCATCCTTTCAATATATAATTACAAAAAAACCGATAAAACATGGTTCAAGTTTTTCCGATTGTCTACATCAAATTTTTCCTTTCATATTTTGAACCTCAATAGAGATACTTGATCACTAACTTTTATTTTTTATTAGTAATGGACCTAACTCACTATTGAAGTAAAGATTGCTTGATTATAACTGAAATACAAGACTCTGTATATATGTACAGAGGGGAGAGTTATACAAGGAAAGATAATATACAAGAGTAAAGAAGACGTAATTACAGGGAGCGTGTGAGTCATCTTTCTATATTCTTACACACCCCCTCAAGACGGACGTACGTTAGAGAATCCGATCTTGACTCTAAAATCCTCAAAGCGAGCTCTTGGAAGAGGTTTGGTGAGTGCATCAGCGAGCTGATCGGTGGAGGAAACGTGTGTGACACGAAGCTGCTTATTCTGAATATAATGTCGGACAAAATGATAATCAAGAGCGATGTGCTTCATTCTTGAGTGAAAAACGGGATTAGCAGCAAGATAAGTAGCTCCTTTGTTATCACAGTAGATAACCGGCATCATTGGTTGTGGGACACCAAGTTCTCTGAGTAAGGAGGTGATCCAACAAACTTCAGATGTGGTGGAAGCAACAGATCGATATTCCGCCTCGGTAGATGATCTCGCAACGCCGGTTTGTTTCTTTGATGACCAGGCTATCGGATGGCGTCCAAGATAGACAATATAAGCTCCGGTGGAGGTGTAGTCGTCTTTGTTCCCAGTCCAGTCAGCATCGGTAAAGGCATGAAGAACAGGCGTGTTGTTGGCGGGAAGAAAGATGCCTTGTGTTTGCGTCCCGGCGATATAACGTAGGACCCTCTTGACAGCATTCTAGTGTTCGGAGGTGGGTCTATGCATGAATTGGGAAAGCTTGTTGACGCTGAATGATATATCCGGTCTTGTAAGAGACAAGTATTGTAAGCTACCGACCACCATTCTGTACTCGGAAGGATCATCTAAAGCCGTCCCGGAGAAGAGTGTGAGTGTCGACGATGGATACATAGGCGTGGAAACTGGTCTGCAATCTGTCATATTGGTATTGTGTAATAAATCTGCAATATAGCGATGTTAAGTTAGTAACATACCAGCTTTTGTGTGTTGCACCTCAATACCAAGGAAAAATGATGAGTCATCAAGATCTTTTAAGGAAAAGCGTTGAGAAAGAGAGTCGATAAACCGATTTGTATGCACGGTGCTGTTGCCCGTGATGATTAAATCATCGACATACACTAGCATATAATTGATAACACCATCTTTGTTGTAGATAAACAGAGATGCATCAGCTAAAGAGTTGGTGAAGTCCGATTGTAGAAGAAACTTGCGGAGTTCATTGTACCAAGCTCGGGGGGCTTGTGTGAGACCATAAACAGCTTTACGCAATTTGCACACCGCTTGAGGATTGTTTTTATCTATGAAGCCGGGAGGCTGAGCCATGTAAACGTCATCCTCAAGAGTGCCTTACAAAAATGCATTGTTTACGTCTAATTGACGAATATGCCAATTGCGTGAGACAGAGACGCTGAGCACAATTCTGATTGTAGCAGGCTTTACGACTGGACTAAACGTTTCATGGTAGTCAATTCCAGGTCTTTGGTTGAACCCTTTCGCCACAAGACGAGCTTTATATCGTGCAATAGTTCCATCCGGGTTTCTTTTGATTGTAAAAATCCATTTGCAACCTACAACATTAGCAACATTAGACAGATAAACCAAGTCCCATGTTCTATTTCCTGTTTGAGCATTGTACTCATCGCTCATTACTTTTCGCCAATGGGGGCTCTTGAGGGCTTGAGCAACGGTAGTAGGTGGTATTTCTAAGGCTGGGGTAACAGTTGTGTGGAGGTTGAGCTTTTGAACTGGTTTCCTAGTGCGAGTACTGACACGTTGTGGAACAGGAGGAACTACCTCTTGGATTGGTTCAGTTGATGAGACCTGAGGTTGGGAATTCTGTATTTCTTGGGGAGGAAGGTAACAGCGGTGGAGGTTGTGTTTCCGGGTTTGATGACCCAGAAGAGCTGGGGTTCAATGCTGGTGTGATTGGGCTAGGTTGTGGAGGTTGTCTTACATTGGGTGGAGAGATGACTCTAACTATCGGATATGTCGTTTGCGGAGTTTCTGTTTGGTCATCTGGCTCTAAGGGAAGAGGTTGGTTTGAAAACGGAAACACAGACTCATGAAAAACGACGTGTCTAGAAGTGTATATTCGTGAAGTGGTTCGATCAAGACACAAATATGCACTCTGCGTTATGGAATACCCTATAAAGACACATGGTGTCGATTTTTCATCTAACTTGTGAGATGTATAGGGTCGTATCCATGGAAAACAAAGACATCCAAATACTTTTAATTTTTGATAATTTGGAAAATCGCCATGAAGTTTTTGAAAGGGAGACTGAAAATCAAGAATTGCTGTAGGCATTCGGTTAATTAAATAAACCGCAGTTGCAAAAGCATATGTCCAAAAGGACTTTGGCATCGAAGCATGAGATAAGAGGGAAAGACCCGTCTCAACTATATGGCGGTGACGTCTTTCAGAAATGCCATTATGCTCGGGAGTATGTGGTGGACTGGTCATATGAGAGATACTATGGGTGGAGAGAAATTGAGCAAAACCAATGTACTCACCCCCATTGTTGGTATACAAGGTTCGAAGTTTGGATTGAAATCGATTTTCAACCAAGACTTTAAACCGTGTAAAAATTTCATAAACTTGACATTTTTTCTTTAAAAGATACAACCAAGTGTATCTAGAAAAATGATCAACAAAAATAATATAATATTTAAAACCATCAACTGAAATAAGTGGAGACGTCCATACATCCGTAAATACGATATCAGGAGGATGATGGGATTTAAGAGTAGAATTTTGAAAAGGCAGTTTAGGCATTTTATTAATTGAACAAGAATTGCAAGGCTGAGCCAATAAAGCATTTGTAGAAATCGGTAAATCAAATTGAGAAATAACTTTTTGTAAAATAGAAATAGCAGGATGTCCTAACCGAGAATGCCAATCCGACATTGAAGTCTTCACGGCAGAAGCAAATGCAAGAGAAGGAGGTGGGTTAGTGGTGTGGATTGGCCATTCATAAGTTCCTTTTTTAGGTTTGCCCTCCAGACGTAGAGCCCCCGTTACCAAACCTCTCACCTGAAAGTACGTTGGTGTGAAGGTAACAGCAACTCCATTAGTATTACATAATTGAAAAACAGAGATGAGATTTTTCTCTTAAAAAGGAACACATAAGACTTTATTAAAAAAGAAAGGACGAGTGTAAGAGGGTAAAGAAAAAGAACCGGTATGTGATATTGGTAAACCGGAACCGTCACCAAGTAGAACATCATCACCACCAACTTATGGATTGTGAAGAGAGAGGTTTGACAAGTCTGATGTAATATGGTGGGAGGCTCCCGTATCAACTAGCCAAGTAGAGGAGTCAGACATCATAGCTGGATTTGCACGTGGCTGCCATGATTGTGGAGAAGGAGAGACACTCCATTGTTGTGGATTTCGCATCTGAGATGGTTGAGGAGCAGATCCGCGAACAATTCTGAACTCAGGACAGTATTTGGCACTATGTCCCTGCGTTCCACAAGCTTGACACCGACCTAAGTACGGACGAGAAAGTCGAGTTTGTCCTTGTTGTTGATTGTTGTTGCGAGGTTGACTGTTGTTTTGATTGTGTTTCCATTGTTGTCATGGTTTGGTGTCGGTGGCATGAGCAACGATGGGCACGACAGATGATGCT